GACTGGTGCAGCCAGTGATCCATTGCAGAGCTGGAGCTGTGCAGCTGCAACGGCCCAGCCAGGAGAATTGAGGGGAACCCACTGCCCTATAGCACCAAATATTTCGGGTTTAGAAGATGATAAAGGCTCCTCGCAGGGTTTAGCAGGGACTCACGTTCAGGAGGAGGCCCCGCAGCAAATCCAATTTGCTTGCAAGCCTGAGGTGGAAAGGCGCATGATGCCCAGCCTCATTCAGGAACAGCCGGTCGTGCAATGGCCGCCGCAAGGCGTGGAATCAGCCCACGCAAGTGCAAACCCAGGGTCAGCACGCCAAGGGTTGACCTCAAGGGATGTATGTGGGGAGGAAGCCGCAGCAGGGTTTCTTACCGCAATACGGTTTGGGAGGGATGCGTGCCATAGAGCCAGATGCATCGCCTCCCGGGAGGGATGGCCCAATGCCCAGTGTGCAAGAGGCCCATCTCCGTGCAGAGCAGAAACATCAGCACAAGTGGTCACAAAGGTTTGAGGCTGAGGTCAGGTGCGGCAGGGCCGAGACGCAAACTGCAAGCGACATCTCCCAGGACCCTCCCACAAGTGATGATGTGCAACGTTGTGCGCGTGAACCACACCATTTAGGTAGAAAAGAGTCGGGTGATTCGGTGGTTTTGCTTAAAGCACCACTCAGAAGCCCAGGAGGAGAGGCGAAAACTGTTCCCACTTCTTCCACGGTTCCCCAGATGGGTGAAGTCAAAGGTTTAGAGTTCCCGGGTTGGTGTGGTGGTTCAGGTCCGTGCTCGCTCACGCAGGTTTGCAACGCCGCAGGGTTGAAGCCACCGCCGCCCGGAAGGGATGGACGTGTCACAGAGTGTCATGTTCAAGATGAGGCAATGGGCGCAAGTAACCAAGCCTCAACAGCCAAAACCGATGGATTCCAGACCCCATTTCTCGAGCCGAGAGGGCAAAATTCAAGCCAAAATAGCAGTTTCCAACCCCCAGATCTGGAGTCCACAATGGGGGGGTTGGGAGGGGCTCACGCCAATCCAGGGGGATGGCCTTGCGTCCAGCAGCATCTCGGAACCATCAGGTTCAAGGGCAAATCCCAATAGTGCAGGAGGTTCCACTCGCTCCTGTCTCGTGTCCAGTCGCTCATCCCGTCAGCGATCCTCAGATTCGCGTTCGGAGGATTCCCCATGCGAGGAAGTTGAGCCAGATGTTGAAGCGTTGAGGTTTCGGTGTGAGATGCCTTCGCCTGTAAACCTCACCCGGAAGGATTGGGCACAGAATGCCATTGACAGCACTTTGGATTCCACATCCCAAGTGTACGTGAAGTCCGCAAGCCTCGCTTCACACATGGAGCCAAACGCGGCACCGTCAGCCATTCAGCCAAAGTGCACGTCAAAGCCCAGGCGCAACAGAGCAAAGCTCCAGATCGCGTGCAAATTCTTTGGCAAGGACATTGGTTGTTTGTGGGGGAATCGCTGTTATTATGTGCACAACTGGGGAGGCATTGTGGATAAGCCTTCTCGCTGCCTCGCATGCTCGGGCAAAGGCCACAAGGCCAGAGATTGCCCCACCAAGCCAAAGAATGCAGGCAAAATGCTTGGCAAGGTGCCCCCGTCAAAGCAAAGCCCCAATGCACAACTCACTCACCCCGCGGGAGCAGTGGAGCTCTCGTCATCAATGTCTGTGAGCCCGGAGTCGGAGCCAACATCCAGGTTGGAACGACGTGCGCAATCCACTTCAGATACAGTGGGTTGCAGCCCTGCCAACAGCGATCCCACTTGGATGGCGTTGGAGGAGATGGTGTCGGAGGTCAAGAAAATGGCTGAATCCCATTCCGTAGCCCATGCAAAGACAAAGCGGTGTGTTGCGAAGGTTGCTGAGGACGAGTCCGAGCCAGGTGTTGCGAGTCAGCTTCAGGAGGAGAGCTTCAGTTGCAAACGCCTAGCCACGAAGATTGATGCATCAACTGCAGTTCCAGCCCGCGCTCTCGTGGACACTCAGGAGGCTGTGTTTGAGGAGGAGGTTACAAGCAAAGTGCCTCACTCCCCGGGAGGGTGAGTCAAGCACCGCTCCCGCAAGTTGCAAACAGCTTGTGTGCAACACTGCGAACCCTTCCTCGCGAAGGGATAGCAGAGCTGAAACGGGCAGCCGAAAGGTTGAGTTCGAAGTTGAAAGCAACTTGCAACTGCAGTGTGAGCGCAGCGCACCTGGAGCACAAGTTCCTGCCAGTGTTCGCGCCATGTCTGTCGGCTGCAATGAGCCAGCCGTCGCCGCAGCGAGTGTAGACGGGGATGGTTTTGGGCAGCGTGATTTAGTGACTAAGGTTCATGCGCTTACACAGCTAGCAGTTGAAGCTGTCGAGCGTGTGATGGAGCAACGCGCTCGTGAACTCGCAGCTAATGCAGCCCTTTCCGAGTTGCTCCACCTTGTCGTTGTGCTAGCCGGGTGCGCAGTCATCAGCCAGGGACTGTGCCAGCGTCAAGTACAAGAAGCCAAAGCACAAGCCAAGCCCGGTTAAGCGAAGCGCGGCATAAGGTCACCCACTCTCCAGTCTGCTGCACTCATTTGGGCGCCGGGGGTAAGCCGGCCAGATTGCGCAGTGTGGGTAAAGACCGCATAGCGCGTGTAGCGACCTGAAGCTGGCAAAGTGCCAAGAAGCCAAACAGGGCCAAGTTTTGCCACTCGGGAGAGCATTCTTTGCAGCAATGCATTTCCTGTATCTCCGCCCTGACGGGTAGGACCAGTGAGCCTGCCGTAGAGGGTTTTTTAAAGGTGCATCTGCCCTTGCGGTGGATGCAAGGAGGAGTGTAGAAATATACCCTCAACGCAGTCTGTAGGCCAGTAGAGTCTGTAGTGCTGTTTACTTCCGCCGTTTCTTAGGCCCAAGGCCCAGGCAAACAGGCAATATCATTAGCAGTTAGCAGTAGCCAAGTAGCAAAGCTAACGTACTTTACGTGTTCTTTCTTGCTGTGGTGAAAATAGTCCCAGGGTTGAGTGCGTTGCCGCAATGGATTCTTTCATGCGAAATCGTACCTCATCACCTGGGGAGCCTCCCACGGCTCTTCAAAGCTATAGGGTTTAGCGGTGGAAGTCAACTATGCCTTAAAAGAACTTACAAGGACTTTGGCCTACAGGTTCCGCAACAGAGCCCCCCCCCCCCCCCCCCGGCCCCTTTGGCTTTGGGGTTGTTTTAGGGCTGCATAGGGTAACCCTGCATAGGGTAACCCTGCATAGGGTAACCCTAAACTTGGCCCTAAACCCTAAACCCTAAACCCTAAACCCTAAACCCTAAACCCTAAACCCTAAACCCTAAACCCTAAACTTGGCCCTAAACCCTGAACCCTAAACCCTGAACCCTGAACCCTCAACCCCTTATAAAGGAGCCCCCCCGAAAGGGGCCCGGAACCCAACACCCTCAGCCCCGATATTCACATCATGCCGCAGGGGATGGCGGATGTTTGGGCTTTGGGGTTTAGGGTTTAGGGGTTTAGGGTTTAGGGTTTAGGGTTTAGGGTTTAGGGTTTAGGGTTTAGGGGTTTAGGGGTTTAGGGGTTTAGGGGTTTAGGGGTTAGGGGTTTAGGGGTTTAGGGGGTTAGGGGGTTGAGGGGGTTGAGGGGGTTTAGGGGTTTAGGGGTTTAGGGGTTTAGGGGTTTAGGGGTTTAGTTGGTTTAGTTGGTTTAGGGGGGTTAGGGGGTTTAGGCGTTTAGGGGTTTAGGGGTTTAGGGCTTAGGGTGTAGAGAACCCTACGAAGAGCCGCAGGAGATGGCCCTGGCCGCAGCCCAGCGGCAAAACATTGCGATGGCCGCTGGCGGCAGCCAGCAACTTGCCAAGCGCGAGCCCGAGCCCGAAGTCGGAAGTCCGAATCGCCCTAAACCCTAAACCCTAAACCCTAAACCCTAAACCCTAAGCCCTAAGCCCTAAACCCTAAACCCTAAATTCCCCAACTTGCCAAGCACGACCCCGAAGCCCTAAACGCAAACCCTCATCACGAAACCCGAAATATCGACACCCTAAAACCCCCCCAAACCCCAAACCCTAACAAATCGTCAACCTCAAACCTTGAATCCCAAACCCTACATCCCTTAAACCCTTCAACCCTTTTAAACCCATCATCCCCAAACTCCTAAACCCTAAGACGAGAAGTCTACTTGACCACCCGGCAAGAGATCCCAATGGCCCAAGTGTCCCGATTCAGGGTTTAGGGTTTAGGGTTTATGGTTTTGGGGTTTAGGGTTTAGGGTTTTGGGGTACCCTTAGGCGCTTATTTTGGGTAGTTGGGGGGGGGGGAGGGGGATAGGGCAAGGTTCAGACTTGTCACTCATCAGCCGCAGCACTCACCTTCGTTTTTCTCAGCATACTGCCTCTCCTCCTCTTGCTTTCTAAGGGTAGTTTCATGGGCCCTTAGCATGGTCCCTTGCCTCCTTTAAAGGGTTCTAAAGCATAGGCCCTTGGGTTGTATAGGGTATATAAGGGGTGCATAAGGGGTCCCCTTTTCAGGGCCCATACTAGGGGACCATGCAACTACATGATCCATGGGGTCAACTATAGGTATCAAATTTCTAAAACCTAATAAAACCTGACACGAACACAGTTTTTAGAGGCATCAAATTTCTAAGCCCTAAAACCTGACACGAAGGCTCCCCCCACAGTTTGCTGGCCCAGACCCGGCTAGCTGAGCCCAGGATTTAGGGTTTCGGGTTGCGGGTTTAGCGCTCAGGGTTCAGAGCCCGAAGCCCTAAACCCGATGCGCTAAATCCTAACCCCTAAGCCCTGCAACTGTCAATGTGGCAAACTCTTTGTGGTACTTTACTGTAACTTTAGATCCTTACCTTTTTGGGGCTTATTGGGTTTCTTATATTAGGCAGCTAAAAGTTTAATTTATAGCTACCCTCCTGGGTGCAGCCAAGAACTGAGGCTCGAGTTGGTATGAAGTCCCCCCACACATGCTAGGACACAGAGTGCGCCCCTATTCCTGTGTGTTTAGGGGTTAAGGTCCCTTAGAAGCCCCTTTAAAACAGTAGCATCTGGAGGTTTCGGGTTTAGGGTTCAGGCGCGTAAGCCCTATAAGCCCCATAGCCTCTGAGATCCTTCTACCTTCTCCTTCACGCCAAGAGCAATCTGCCCTCTACACCCAACATCACCTTCGGCCCCTGTACCCCCAAACCCAAAACCCAAATCCCTAAGCCACGGACCATACCTGTACAGGGCCTTTGCCGGCACAGAAAGAACACGTAATTGCAGACCCTTGGGGGACCCCATTAAACTCTGAAGCGCTGTCATTCACAGCGAAGTTGCCCTGCATAGATATGAGCATCGCACAAAACCTCTGGAAGAGGTAGCCATGATTAGACGAGTCATGTGGAATTCACAAGTGCTCTAGCACGAGAACCGATAGGGGCCGACCCTACACCGATACCCAACTCCCATAGATAATTCCCGCATAACCGATAGGGGGCCGACCCTATTCCACGCGATAGTCGGGACATACTTGAAGTTGGGACCGCTACTCATATGTAAAGGGTTTAGGGTTTAGGGTTTAGGGTTTAGGGTTTAGGGTTTAGTGTTTAGGGTTTAGGGTTTAGGGTTTAGGGTTTAGGGTTTAGGGTTTAGGGCAACTACCCAGGTCTTGCGATTCCATCGCATGTACCCAGCAGCATGCCGCCACACATGCCAACAACAAGGAGCGGATTTTCTTAAGTGATGCACACCCACCCCAGACCGTAAGCACCAACGCCCCCAATCGAGAAGGGCCGTTGAATTGGGTCAGGCTCGGAGCCTCCTAAACCCTAACCCCCAACCCCTAAACCCTGAACCCCTAAACCCTTTACCCTATAGGTTTAGGGTTTAGGGTTTAGGGTTTAGGGTTTAGGATATACCCTATATCCTGAACCCCAATTCCTCTCAACCCCATTCCCTAAATGCCCTACACCTCTAGGGTGTGCACGGTATGCGCGCAGCACTGCGACACAAAGATCACCCGATTAGGGTGTGGGGTTTAGGGTGTAGGAGTTGTGGGGTTTAGGGTGTAAGGCTTACGGTTAATCATACTAAGGATCCCTAAAAAGTTTAAGGTATGCTCCTTTAAAGGGGGTTTTACCCAAATAAGGGCCTCGACCACATTAGTCACCATTGGAGGCTTCTACCAACGGTGCTGCAGGAGGGTGGGAAACCCTAAACCTATGAGGGTTTAGGGTTTAGGATTTAGACCCCCCCCCAAAAGAAAAACAACCTTGATCCACAGGGCCCCAAGTAAACCCTGGCCCAGGGTTTAGGAGTATACTTCGCACGAGGAGTCGGAGACAACGAACAGCCACGGAGCCTTGATACCCAGGCCTCAGAGTTTGGGGTTCAGGGCTTAGGGTTGGGGAGTTTGGGGTTTCGGTTTCAGGGTGTGTGTGTGTGTGTGTGTTGTTTCCCATTGTTGGGGGGGGTGGGGGAGGGTCTAGGGTCTGGTTTCAATGACAGTAAGCCCATCAGGACTCAGACACGAGATCAGTCGTAAACTGTCGTGACCCTTCGTTCCTTAATCCTGTCGGGCTTCCTACCGAGAGGATCGGGCGACTGGGGAAGTAAGTAGTGTTACAACTGCAAGCCCTAAACCCTGTCAACCCCCTAAATCCGAAACCCTCAGCCCTAAACCCATAGGTAGGGTTGCTGGCAGTGTCGGGTCAGCCAAGCATGCGGTGCGGCTCAAGGCTATTTTGCATGTCCGGGTCGCATGGTAAGCCCTAGAACGCTGGCTAAACCCTGGCCCTAAACCCCAAAACCCCCAAGCCGTAAACCCCGAGGCTTCCCAAAAAATACTCAGGGCCCACAAAACCAGCGATTCCGGTGCCGAGTAGCAAAACCAGCGATTCCGGTGCCGAGTAGGTAGCCGTGAACTTTCAACCAGTTGCAAGAATAGGGTTTCCACTCAGGATTCCATCCCGAAACCCTAAACCCTAAACCCTGAACCCTAAATCCTAAACCCTAAACCCTAAACCCTAAACCCTAAACCCTAAACCCTAAACCCCTCTTTCGCTTCTCTTGCTACTTGTACCAAACAAAATGGCGGCGGCTCTCCTCCTCCGTGCCGCGCAGCGCGGAGACATCGAGGAGGCGTCTCTGCTCCTGGAGACTCGGAGGTGAACTTAAGAGGTTTGTTTGGGAGGCTAGGGTTTAGGGTTTAGGGTTTAGGGTTTGGGGTTTGGGATTTGGGGTTTGGGGTTTGGGGTTTGGGGTTTGGGGTTTGGGGTTTGGGGTTTGAAGAGTTTAGAGCTTATTTTGCTGTTCCTGACTATACATCTGGTTCCTTAGGAATTTTGGTGAGTGTCAATCTGCCCTTTTGGGGGATAGTCGAAATCAAGCCGCTTCTTCATACAGAGTTTAGGGTAGGGGTTTCGGGTTTAGGGTTTGTTATGGGGGGGGGTTAAGAGGTTTAGACTTGAGGTTTTAGGATCTAGGGTTCAGGGTTGCGTTTTTGGGGTTTAGTCAGCGTGTAGGCCTCATTCAAGTTTGCTTTGCTTGAGACCTGTTGAA